ATGCACGATGCGCATCTCTGGTGTGCGCAGTCATTTTATTCCCTAGTCCCAGGGGCATCTGGGATAAAATATCTTTTATAAATTGTAGACCATAGTACCAAGTCTATTCTTCTTGTTTTTTTTTTCAATGATACTTTAAGTGATCTTGATCATCCATTCTCCGTGACATGGACATGTGAAACGACCGCCTATGCCATTCATTTACACTAATTCCTTCCTTTACATCAATTTACGGTCTTTTCTCTCTCTCTTCATTTCTGTTTGGTCCCTTCATATTTCTCGTCATGACTGTTACCAATGGTTCTCAAGGCCCTGTAGTCGTGGGCATCTGCGTGGCATTTGCCGCCTTGACCTTCGTTGTTTTGGTTCTTCGTCTCTTTGCACGCATTTATGTCTTGGGTCAAATGGGCATTGATGACTGTAAGTGGATTATGCTTGATCCATTTTACCAGCACTACTGACATCTTCAGATCTTATTGTTGGCGCTTGTGTAAGGAAAATGGTCTCCGTGATCAACAATGCTTATAACTAATGTAAATAGGCATTGTCTTGGTCATTTATTGCTGTCACGCTTGTCGGTATGTTCCCAATTTTGCCTCCTACGGCTATTTGCAGAAGTTAATATTATTTAGCTGTCAAACATGGACTTGGACAACACATTGAATATGTCGACCAAACCGGGATGGTCGACTATTCTTTTGTAAGGATACGGGCCCCGACCTTGTACAGCATTGAATTTCTAACCTTTCCCCAGGCAGTCTGGCTGAGCTCAATGTTTTATCTTGCAACACTTGGATTTATCAAAACCTCGGTGCTGTGGTTCTATATTCGCCTCGGAGATCGCTATCTCACTCGCCTATCCTGGGTTATGATGGGAGTTATTATTGCCCAAGCCACCTCATTTGTTCTCGTGGCTGCATTCCAATGTCAACCCATTAGCATGGCCTGGACTGGCACTGGACCCGGAAAATGCGTCGACATCAACCTTTTCTATCTTTGCAACGCCGCCCTGAACATTGTCACCGATCTCTTGACTTATACCTTGCCCATCAAGGTCATCTTCCATCTCCAAATGCCTCGGAAACAGAAGATTGTTCTGGCCTTTATCCTCTGTCTTGGTCTTTTGTAAGTGTACCCCAGTTCTTACACCTGAACATCTTCTAACGGATTACCCTCTGCAGCGCTTGCATCTCCTCGATCATCCGAATCACTTACATCCCTGCCATGCTTAGCTCGAAGGACTCTACCTACGCCATTAGCGGTGCCATGTACTGGACGGTAATCGAAACCAACGTCGGCATCTTTGCTGCCTCAATCCCGTCATTCAAGGCAATTGCCTCCCGCTTCCTACCACGTTTCATCGGCGAGTACAGCAGTGGGAAGAAATATGGCCCCTGCTCAAGCAACAACAACAACAAAAACAACAACAATTCCCCACGGTATCCATCTGGATTCGCCAAGGTCAGGGATCCCAACAGCCTCACTATGATCACAGTCAGCGGCAAGGAGGACATTCCCATGGGTACCAATATTGGCGCGGCCAGCAACTCCAGCGAGGAACGTATTATCCCCCAGGGCAAGATCTTCGCTCACACGGAAATTGAAACTACCTTCGAACAAAATGATTATGGAAGCGAGAATATGCCATCACTCGAGCAGGCTCGTCAATGATATTGAACTTACCCTTACGAATTTCAAGGTTTGCGGCTGTGCATAGAATCTTACATGTAGGTATAATATTTGGAAAATGGATTTCGGTTTCATATCTTCTATAACATATTCCAAAGGACATCGGTGACATAAATCTTGCGTGTAAATGGCTATGTAAATGACTATATAGATCGATCTATCTGGTTTGTTCATGACGAGTCTTTAGCTGATGTTCCACCTAGTCCTGAAATAAACGAACGTCATCCAAGGCATGCAAGTCGCTGAAGTGTTGAAGTTCGACGACACCAAAGGGTTTCCAGAACCCCCACAAACCCACAATACCAATCTCCGCAACCACATCATCACCTCTCATCCTCCACTCGCACTATGCAATCGTCTCACTCCCGTCTCACCTCCACACGCGAAAAGCCGCCACCCCAACACCAATCAAACCAAAAATGCAAGCCCAGTGTGTAAGGCCCCTCCGTAAATGATGATTTACAGACCTCTCAATAGCCTCTGAATCATTGATACGTGGAAACGGCACATCAACCGGAGCCTCAACGCCCAGAGCCTCACACAACGGCCCCCACCCATCCTTGACATCAAAGAAAACCAACCTATCCTCAGGTACAACCTCCTTCAACCAGGCAATATGATTCGCATATGTCTCCCTTCCATGCTGACCCGCAACACCGCCATAAAGCCTCTCCCAGAGTGCTGCAAGCAAATATCCATACGGAATAAAATGCCTCATCCCCTCCAGTGGGAGGAGGACAGCACGCGCAAACCAAACGCCCGTCAAACTCTGCACATAGAGCATACTCTTCTCCCACAGGATAGGGTCACGAGTTGTGCAGATGACCTTGGCATCCGGATACAGCTCTATGAGTTCTAGGACGAGCTCGGAGCCTGGGGAGTCGGTGATGGCGACGTAGCCGGCCAATCGGCGGCGCAGGAGTGTGAGCATCTTTTCCCGACTTGTGGTGTCATCTTTTTTGAGCCAGTTTTGTAGAATTGGCATCCAGCTTCTTATCTCTGTCGGTGGACCTCTCGATATTTGCGTGCCGCAGTGGTACACCGGTCCGTGCAGGAGGATTTCTAGCGCCTGGCTGAATGATGAGGTCCCTGTGCGTGGTAGTCCAGCGCCGATGACTTGGATTTGGGCGCCTGGTTGTGGCACGGATGCCTTTTGGCCCATTTTGTCTGTATAGGTGGTTTGTTTTGGGTTGGGGGAGGTGTTCGTTGGTGGTTGGTTTCAGGTTTGCCGAATGACCCTCTTTTTTTCTTCTTTTCTTTTTTCCACCCAGCGTTGGCTATTTTACTTGATTAGAAAATATTCGGGTTCATGAAGGTAACGGGTTTTATTTATGCTGAGGATATGAACAGAATCTTAGGTGCTTTATGTTTCTTTGATAGATATAAATGCCAGATAGGAGACTCCGGCTATTGGGATTTCCGCCCCCACTTTGAAGATTCCCCTCTCCATTATGGTCGGTGACCGGCCGGGGCTTTTAGATTTACACAATCTAGTTTTAAGGAATTGAACCAGGGGTATGATGCTCAGGGTGTGATACTGTATGTACTGGTAGTAACAGGGCACATGGTTCAAGTACTTCAACCGGGTTTAGGTGTTGTTGGTAAAACTGTATAGTGGTGGCCTGAGGCGGTAGGCAGTTGCACCACAGCATGGGAACTGGGTTGTGTTTGCGTGGCCCGTTGGTAACTATGGCGAGGGATAAGATTAAGAGAAGTCTGTGTGTACTTGATCAAAACGGGGGTATCTGATTGAATAGAGTATATGTAAGTTAGAACTAAGATTGAAGGTAGGGCTATTATCAAACTTGGAAAATATTGGAAGTGCTCATGACAGTGATTTAGCAGGACATTACTGTGTTCTTCTCCGTGCAAACATTGAATATTTGGCATGTTAGCGTGACTCACCATCGAATACTAAAAATATATATAAATGCGTACATCACAGGTATCACAGGTAGCGGGTATATATAAATATTCAATACATCTATACATGAAAGTTAAAATAGTTGTGGACTAAAACCAAGAAGGGGAAAAAATAAACAAGAACACCAACGATTAAGGTGCCATAGGGTATACCTACAATATGGGATTTTATATGATACCGTAAATCCAGTAGAGTCTTCATGGGTAGGTGTATTGACGTGTTATGTCCTGACTAATGACAAAAAAAAAAAAAAGATAGACATAGCATGTCCTGGTTTCGATCCAGGGTCCTATTGAGATTGTTAGTTGGATGTTTGTGGGTTAAATTGGTTGCGGTGAAACGTACCTCCGGGTTATGAGCCCGGCGCTCTTCCCCTGAGCTAACATGCTGATTGGTGGAAAATATATCACTTCAATGAAATATCACTTCCTTCAGAAGAATACATTTTAAGTGACACTATATATAGTAAGTAATGGAGTAAAATAGCTACAAATTTACTTGTAAACACATTAGGTCATTTTCTACAATTCTAGATCGCGAACTCCACTTCCGGAAATGGGTGACTAAGTTGTAGTTTCACCGCTGCTTAATTAGACTAACATACCACCTTTTATTATTATATCTTTTGGCTTTCATATTTGGCTAAATAATTGTTATTTATTTATATCTGCGATTTACTGGAATGAAATTAGAAACATGGACTTATAAATTCCAGAGTGATGAAGTATAATATCCCATCAGCATGTTAGCTCAGGGGAAGAGCGCCGGGCTCATAACCCGGAGGTACGTTTCACCGCAACCAATTTAACCCACAAACATCCAACTAACAATCTCAATAGGACCCTGGATCGAAACCAGGACATGCTATGTCTATCTTTTTTTTCCTTTTTCTTCTTCTTTATCGATATCTTCATCAAATCCATCATTTGGGGATGGGGGTTCAATAAAATCCACTAAATTGCAGGTCTCACAGAGAGCCTTTCTACCTTCAAAATTTCTAACTCAACATACTCATCGTTAAAATCGCATATCACAACCAAGTCATTGCATGGCTGGCCCTCCGCACTATGATTTAATTCCCTCAAGACGGGATCTTAGCGCAACAAGGGGCGATATAAAGGATATACTACACTCATTTTGTACCAAGAAATCGAAATTGAACCCAATTAAGAATTGGTGGCTTTTGCGCAACTAATCTGAACCCTGAAAATCCCAGTCTTATCACATCAAGTGTACTTATTTCTCCCTTGGGGATCACTACTTGGTCTATTCAAAGACTTGGTAACAAACCAACGTCTCTTGAACCCCTGGCTTTCTCGGGTAGAGCAGCCTTCCAGAATGTCCACAAGAGTGTTCATTTTTCGTAAATTGCACTCTCCAGTCGCTTTTAGCCAGCAATGAAAATCTCCATGGCTATCTTGACCGCGGATAGAAATCCCCAAGCGGCTAGCAGGATCTGTTTTCAAAGCAGAAAGAGCATAAGCGTGTGGGTGTGGGGTCGAGGTTAGATGATATTGGAGAATAACTTCGTTGCCGTTACGGAGATCAAGTCCAAGCGTTTGTGAAACAGCGAACCTGAAACTACCAGCTATGACCTCAGTTTGATGGTTTCCATGGTTTCCGGAATGCAATGCAACAAGGGCTTTGGCCCCCTCGAGGCGCTCTTGAGCCATGCTGGCTTTCTTTTTACCCCAGGTGTCCTGCGCCTTAAGGATACGATCTTTGTGAAGATCCCACCAGTAACTTCTGATCCTCGGGTCAGGCGAGTTTCGTATGTCGTTGAACGCATCCCTGGTTTGTTCTGCCCATGCCCGAATAACTAAATCCTCAGATGCAAGGTATTGCTGAAAGGTTGATCTACCGCCAATTGCGTCAGCGATAGTTTTGTTCTCTTGAGTATCTGTGAAGCCTTGCCATAATGGCAATGCAACTTTGAGATTATTACCCGACCACATAGCTTTTTGGTTTTTCGGCAACCAGGAGCCTAGATGAAGGGAAGTCAGTGTTTGAAATACTAGGCACATCCACATCTCCGCTAGGTTGAGAACCAGTTGCGTCTGAGTGGAAGACGGGGGATCGAGGATAGCCAGAGTGACAAAGGCTGATTTCATACCCACGGCAGAGCCCCACACTGAGTAGTGCAGTCCCATATTCTTCGAACGATGCCTGGGATCTTTGTGTTTCTCGGTTCTCAGACACAGCACACATGCTTGTCCGACGTAAAGCCAAAATCGATTCGTCGTTTCATCCTCTCTCCATAGGATGTGAAGGTAGATGTCTGCTTCTTTTTTTGTTTCTGGGTCCTGTGCAATTTTCAAGAGTCTAGGAGAGATTATTAGCAACTTGTCTCTACATTGTCAAGGTCAAACATGCCTGGTCAGATCGAATCTTCCTTGTTTACAGACGCCCTTTACAGCTGGACTCAAGCTGTCTTCGAGTATTTTAGCAATATCGTACTCCTCGAGCACAGAAGACTATCTTTCGCTCATTTCGAGGCGCACATTTGAAATCAGATGCTCCAGGATGGAGGCCCGATCGACGGGTCCTAGATTCAGGGTCTCAATTCCACTACCGGCCACCTCGTTCCAGTTTCGTCGTTTGGCAGTTGGAATTTCATCTGTTGTTGATCTCTGAGGTGGTAATTTTTCGACGCATTTGACGCTTGAGTCATGGCCCTTGGGGCTTTGGATGAATCATGAGACGACGTCTCTCCAGTCAGCACATTAATGAAGAAAAGTATTGGAATAATAGGGTACACACTTCGCGATGGTTATCAATTTGATCAAGATCATTTATGGGAGTCGTTTTTGTAGGGCGTGAGCAACCTAGGTACCCTCCTCCACTTCGTCCCCCATGAGATTTCATTTTGCAGTAAAGGGCCGTATGACCCAGACCTCCGCATCGGTTGCAAAATTTGCAGAGACTTTGATCGTATCCCTCCACTAGGCATCTGCAACCTCTGAATGCTGCAGACATTTCAAGTTCTCGAGGATTGCCAGGGAATAGATACCTCGAGCCACTAGAATGAGATTGTGTGGCTTAAGTTGAAGTAGGTAAAGCAAAGAATTGATGCCTCGAAAATGGTAAAGATGGAGGATAATGTTGAGAATGGTGTATCAGGGCCGAGAATCGACTGAAAGAGCAGCAAGAGCTCCGGAATATCCGCAGATCACCAGGCAGCAACAGGGCCTGAGGACGTTAAGTTGATGATGAAAAAGGTGTTCGATAAGCACGACAAGAACAGTATCAGTCAAGTGGCCGGGAAGAGTCAGGAAGTTGAGGTAGCCTGATGTCGACACTTGATGCATGGCGACAAACGTGATAACGGTCAAAGCAGTTGTTTGAATGGGTAGATGTTCAGTTCCAAGTCTGAGCAAGGGGCTGCAGAGTCAGAGTTGTAGTGACATTGGAAGATATCAAAGACCACACTGAACGGTGTGATGTTTCAGCGAGGGATAGTGCGAGACTATAGAATCTACTACTGGCGAGCAAAAAGGGCCATACTCTCGAAGGGGACTTTGATCTTTCTCTTCATATCGGCCTCGTCTGAGTCCGCGTAGTTTCAGAGTTATCTAGAGCCGACTGGAAAGTGTTAATGTGTAGAGTGATATACGTACTTGTATCGTCAGATCGGAATCTGCAGGTGTTGAGTACGCACTTGCGCGAGACGGAGTGTGGGGTGTTATTAGCTACGTATCCGATATACGCTAGTTTGTAGAACTCGCTATATACCACTATAGATTAATTAAAGGCTTTATAAAAATCTACGTTACCTTTGAAGTCACCTAGGGAGGGTTAGCAGTTTGAGAAAAAATAATACATTGTTGGTAGGGGTACATGTATTTCGACGTGTGCTTGTTATAATTGATTCCTCTAATAGTGCCGAGTTGTACAGACTATAGAGTGACCATGATAGTACATTACGTTTTGCATCTCATATGACTCTATGACCATGCAAGGGATATAGTACACCGACGGAGTATTTTGCATCGCAAAAGCACCAACTACCAGAAACAGCAACCAGAAAAAGACCACTTGAAAGAAGCCAGAACAGCTCATCCATCATACCATACAAAATAATCACATGTGCAAGAATTCGATCATCGGCTTCAAAAAAGAGAAGTTCCTCAGCCACACATTCACCATCGTCCCACCACCCCATCTTCTGCCCCCACTTCAATACAACGAGCGTATTACAAGACCCACAACCCACAGCTATTAAGCCACGGACCCACCGATGTACACCCTGTCTATCATTTATTGCCCATCATTTTTAAGGGTGTACAACATACAACGTAAATATTAATATTGTACAATATTTACGGCTTAGTTGGTACGGAATATGGTAAAACCTAGGATAAATACCGATCCCGACTTCAGATAAGGCTAGTTTTAAAATACACAACCTTGAATAGAAGCTAATTGCTATTGATGACGCTGACAATCAAAACAATGACCGCAACATTCATACCTGGTAAAAGATCGGAGATGAAGGATGAGTCCCCGGAGGCACATGGGTACTAACCCCCCGCTATGCAAAACCATCAAATATACCCAAATAAGCAACTCCGTTACATGGAAATGAAGAAATCCCGAACTCAGTGCTGGAATTGTATAATTACTGGTATACAACTACGTCGACATACCCACCCAAACTAAGATCCCGCAGAATCCCATCCAAATAATCCCAGTGCCGGGTACCAGGATGCTGGTAACTAAATTGCTTATCAGGCCGGAGTGTGGATGAGCTCGGGTTTGTTCCACGGCTTTCTTGATGGGTCTACGCAATGATGGGATCATACTCTTGGCACATGGAGCTTGCACCTCTTCGCTACGATATTGATTATACAAGATATTAATGGGTAGTTGCTGTTGTTGATGCAATGTGGAGTACAGAGTACGGAGTACAATATGCGATCAGGGCGAATCGGGACTCATCCGTGGAGATGTTAATTAATTTATTGCGATATACAATATAAATTATTCAATTATTCAATGACCTTGCCCATAGTGATTTTTTGTCAACTCTAATTATTCTAGATATTCTAAACAAAGCACCTATGATTATGTTTTACACATAACAACTAACACATACATAATACTTCGAGATCGGCGCTGAGCATTGAAGATGGCTGACATAAGTGGATATAAATATGCAGGTGTGATGTAGGTGGGTGCGAGGGATTAGATTCTATCCCTCGATTGTTTCAAAGCAGGAAGAGTGTTTCACCGTTCCTAGTGTTATTGTGGAGTGGAGTGTGGAGTGTGGAGAGTGATAGATCATTTCCAAATGAATTCATGTCGTATCCAAAAAGCTAATATACATTTTTGTTGGAGGAATGTACTATAGTACAAGAGGGACACACTATACTGGGGTCAAAAATGCAGCAACACCATGTACAACAGAAATGTACAACACCAAAACCGTTTGTTTTTCCCAGAACCAGAAGGCATAAGCAGAAAATAGAGGGGAAAAAACCAACCAAAGATAAAACACACCAACCAATGCTAAAATGGGCTTGCGCATGGAAAACAAAATCATCAACGTAAAATCGTACACATAATAAATAAAAATCCGAATCCGAATAGTGATACAGAGAGCTCATGAGGATTAGGGAACTAAATCGTCATGATGACGCAGCCCCAGATTTTTGGTGGACCCAAGTGGGTCCACCTATGACGTTCGGCATGCCGATCGATAGACTATGACGTGGAAGGCGCTCTCAGTCTCTCCTCCTGCGCTGCTTGCCTGGCCAGTCGATTTCGGGATGAACCACTCGCATGTCTGTAATTAATGTAATTAGCGTATGATCAACTTAAGGGGTAAAAAGAAGATAAATCGAAACTTACGTCTTGTTAGAGCATCGTTTCGGCTGAAGGTCTTGTCCTCGTTACAGATGTGACAACGCACCTTCTGCTTCCCGGCGGTGTGGATTGTATGCTCGTGCCGTGTAAGATCGTAGGGCCGAGAGAAGATGGAATTGCATGCTTTGCCTGTAGACGGGTTGATGCGTTCGCACTTGTGCGGGCCAGCCTGGGAGTTGCGGAGCGAGGTGTCGCGGCTGACAAGGTGGCCGCCCGGTGTTGTTTGCCGGTGTGCCTCGCGCTTGTGTCGCTGGAGTCTAGAGGGAGAGTCGAAGCGGTCGGTGCAGTTGTGATAGGTGCAAGTGTAGGTGCCCGCATCCGAAGATGTGTTGGCGGGACGGGGAATACCCTCTGTAATTGACATATTCATTTGGCTTGGAGGCGAGCTCTCGGTAGATTCCACCGCTGGGAGCGAAGGGAACTCAGTACTCTGTTGTAAGAGGTTACTCTGGGGGCGATGCATCTGAGGTTCGGAAAATGCGAATTGTGGCTGGGCCATGCTGGGTACCGAGTATTGAGGGAATGCTTCCATCGGTCGCATTGAGCCACTATCGCGTCGCAAGCCAAGCGCATCACCCAGGTTGAAATCCGTCTGACCTGGGGGAAATAGAGGAGGCATGGCATCATCGTTGTCTTGGAAATCCAAAACTGCATCCTTGGGGGACATAGTCTTGATATCTCCAGTGTTTGAGGTCTGGCTCATATTCATTCCGTTCATAGCGTTCTGCCCCATGGGTATGCTAGTAGCCATCTGGGGCTGCTGGAGAGCGTTGTTGCCCATGTCACCGGCGAATGGAGAAGAGGGACGGAAAGGTGAGCGATCCCGTCGGTTAGCAGGCGATTGCGAACGAGCAGACAGGTGTCCTTGGTTGGCAGCTTGCAGGCGATCGGCAATAAAATTGCGCGGGTTGGGGTGGTTTTGTCCCATCGGCTTGGACACCTGGGGTGCAGCCATGATGGTGGGGTTATATAATTCGTCTTGGTATATATCGGAAATGGTTCTGTTCAGCTTGGGAACTCCAATTGACATGGCACCATTGGCGCTGTTGTATTCTGGAGGCACGTCGAGACGTAAGTATTGGTCCATCCACCTATCAATATCAGGGATTCGATTCTCACCATGGGTCATCGACTTGGATGCGTCGTCAAGTTCGTCGAGGGTAGTCTGCGGAGTCACCGGCGAGTTATGGCTAATTGTTGACACCGATGGAGCCAGTGAGTAGTCGTTCTGCATTTGCTGCGGGGGTGACTGTTTCTGCTGGTCCATGATCGCTTTTCTCATAGC